AAAAAAAAAAAAATTACACACAAAACAAAACAAGAGAAAAAACAAAACTAAAAACGAAATTTGTATTTTAAATTTGTACGAGTTTAATATTGATTAGATTTTCTTTTTGTTTTTGCCATACTTAAATGTTAAATGAGAAAGTTACAAAAATTGTGAAACAAAATGTTAAAAAAAAAAAAGGAAGAAAGGAAGAAGAAGCGCAAAAAATATGATGAGAATGATAACGAATTGCAAATTTGTTGTATTTTTTATATGAAACACATATATATGTATAAATATATTTAGATATATATATATATATATATAAATGCTATATGTTGTAGTTCTTAAGCACAACCTGCCACAATCGGTTCAACAGAAACAACAACAACAGAAAACAATTTTTTGTAGTAGATATTAGAGAGAAATTAAAAAAAAAAATGTATGTATGTATGTATCCATTTGTATTTTGTGTCTAAACAACAACAACAAAAACAACGACAAACAAAAGAATGTTCGTAAATAACAAAATGAAAATAAAATGAAACAATAAGTAAAAGAAAATTTATATATACACAATATATTCATGCTGATGTGAAAGATGGGAAAGAGCAACAACAAACAACAAAGCAACGGCATATTTGCTAGACTTTATTTTACACGCCAGTTCTTATTGGACTTTTGTTGGGTTATGCTCGATGGTTGGATAGCGCGATCGGGTTGGGCAGGAGGGGAAGGGCTTTCGTTGGAAGCGTTCGCCCCGCTGCGAGCTTTTCTGCTGAGCTGTGTGAAACGCGAGCCCAAAGTCAGGGAATACGCTGGAAATCACGCGCCCTGCTCTATCCAACGAATGACAAACAATTTGGCAGCAAACACGAGATCAGCTCATGATACTTGGTCCAACATTCGAATTGTAGTCCAAAGGAATTCGCTGGTTTCACCTATTTATATAGTCATGTTGTGTGGCCGGGCTGTAAAAGCTTAAACATGAACAAGTTCACTTTTATCGTGCTATTATTACAAATTAAAAACCCTTTTTTTTGAAGCTACCGTTTTGGGCAATTGTGCAAGTTGGCGTTTTTTAAGGAAATTTAAGTTAAAAGTCCCTTGGTGAGTAGCAAAACTTTGCTAATACCCTAGGGTAATCTTAAAGTATATACATATGTCAGTTTGAATTTCCCAAGTTAATTTTTCTATTCTGATGAAAATTAACATATATTTCTTGCTTATTCAAATAGATTACAATTTAAGAATTGGGAAATTCAAATTCTTTATCTATGAGTGTAAGTAAAACTGTCATAAATCTCAACAATTCTGTTGAAAGTGTTCTTTGACCATTTTAGCCACCCCGCTAGCAGAAACTGTCAAATAATACAAATCGCATTTTTATCGCCTTTTATTGGCTTGTGATTCTTATGGCTGTGTGTTATCAAATATAATACAAAATTATTAGGTTCTTTTTCTATTTTGAGAAACTGTTAAGGCCATGAGCTTTACTGTGCTAAATATAACGCCTTTTAATATTTGGGAAATTATTTATTTGCGCAGCAAATTCCATAAGTCCCATTTAAAATCCCATGTTGAAAATCAACAAGTTATTCAATTTGCCAAATATGAATGTGATATAAACATACGGCAATTAATTCAATGATTTATGCGACTAAAATGCAAAATGTTTTATTATTTTGGCAGAAACTAGTGCATACACACACACACACACACATGTGTACAAAAAGTATATTTATACACACAAGTTTGTATGCACAAATAAGTTAATATATTTGCTTACGTTGTGATTTCGCTAATAACCCATTCTCATAAACTTTTAGTTGTGCCTTTAATTAATAAATTGTTTCAATTATTTATATTATAAATGAAATGAATAGAATAAAATTGCTGCAAATTTCCTGTAGATAATGCATTTCATATTAAAATAGCGCGCTAAAAAGTATGCTGTGTTTAAATGCGCTAAACTGCCAGGGCTGCATAGCCAAAACAACAAAAAAACACAAACGTTTGCAGCAAACATAAAGCGAACATATTTACACATACATATGTATGTATTAGTAGGTACATGTACAAAGAGTTGACCGCACTTAGTTTGAATTAAATGTTATGCGCAATATTCGAGGCGTTGGTTTTGTGGTTTCAATCCCAAGCGTGCGACCGACCGCCCACCCGCCCGACCGCCGGCCAGCAAATGCGTACTGCGAACGAACGCTGAGGGGGCGATTCGCAGCTAACTGCGCAGTTGTTTAAAAATCTATTTGCCGGGCTGCTGCTGCTCTCTCTTGAATGTGTGTGTGTGTGTGCACGTGTATATGTATATGGATATGTACATATGTTTGCATAGACAGAATGTGGGTTATGAGCCGCTGCCACGCGCATACATAGTTTGCGAAGCTCACCACGCGAGTTGTTGTTGTTTACAGTTTCGGCAGACATGTGCCGGCCGGTATTTTCGGCAGTTCAACAAACCCCATACAAATATCCCAAGGTGAATTGACAGAATTGGGAACAATCGTTTCTTATCATTGATTAAATCGTTTCATTAGAGAAAGCCTTTCAAGGCTATTGCATGTTGCTTAAGTATTAGATGATAAATAGAAAACAAACTCAACTCAGTCAATGTGACTGAAAATCGGACTTAAAACTTAAAGCTATATCAACAATTTAGTGGCAATCTTTAGAGCTAACACTACAAGATCAATATCAGGTGTGATAATATACAACTAATTGATGGCTAATGATAACATTTTTTTTTGATTGAATGAATGCATGCGTTTTGGCAGTAGCTCGTTGGAATTGAAAAGCAATTACAGCTCCAACTGGAACTGCTCCTGTTCCTCGATTTTCAGCGATTGCGTCTTCTTCGCCAGGTCTGTGGGCACGGGCACACACTTGCGGAAGGGTGTGCGGGGCGTGCCGCGCAGCAGGCAGCTGGGTATATTGCTGGGCGGCGTTTGGCTCAACGGGGATCCACGCAGGTTCTTCATGAAGGCCCGTTCATAGATCACCTTGGTGCCTGCAAAGATAAGGTGGGAAATCAACTATTAGTCTACATTTAATTGACAATTGCATCAGACTCTGCACAGGTGATAAGACACAGCTGCACGAGCTCACAGAAAATATTCATGAGTCACGAACATGTGCGCCTGGCCAGACTGAGTTCGAGTCCGAGTCTGGGATTGTTATCAGACAGCTGATTCACAGTTGCCAAAATTGTCAAAGTTGCATCAACATACCGCCAGGTGTCGTGGAGTAGAGGGTGCCGCCGGGCGTGGAGGAGTACACTTCCGGCATTTGGATGGGATCGGTTATCACAACTTTCTTGGTCTTCGTCATGGCCAGGGGCAGCGCATGCGAGAAGGCTTGGCGAGCGGTGGGAGATGCAGACATCTTCTTTTTCTTGATTAGGAAACTTTCCGTTACTTTACAAAAAAAAACTTGTAAATCGTAATCGAACGACTTTTGTTTGTTTGCGCGAAACTGCGTTGTTGAATTTGTCGCTGCCTTTGACTTCTGCTTATCAGCTGTTGACGCGCTGTAGAACGTGCTTGGTTCGCTTCACGAGTCCAATTGACACTCGACGGCATTTGGCAGCTGTATTTATACTGCTTGCTCTTCTTCTTTCAATCGTGACGAACGTAAACAAAGTCACCGAAGCGCACGTCTCGGCAGCAGCGCGTCACTGCAATGCGCGCTCTCTCTCTCTCTCTCATTTTCTTTCGCTCTCTCGCTGTGCTTGCTTTCTTGTTGTTGTTGCCTGTGTAATATATGTAAATGTAGTTTGATTTTGTTTTTTTTTCGTTTACCAATTCTTATGAATTAGTACTAAACGGTTTTGGTAGTGTTGAAAGGGACGCTCATACATACATATCTCTTGAATACCTTCTAAACCCGTTCATGACCAGCCTTACATGCGGCATAACGTTGTTTACACATTCTGCATTGTTATTTATCTAATTAGTTGTTTTTTTGTTTACAATTTCTTGCATAAGACTTCGTATCAATTAATAATTAGGCCAGAAATGTGCTCAATTCAGTTATTTTCATGAGTTATCATATATGTATTTAATTTTCGATATATTTTTATAGTTTTTATAGTATATTCAGGAACTGGCAACTACAGGTCAGTTATATATGGCGACAATATAAATAATCTCTTAACTTTATATTATAGAAGTATTACATTTTGACCGATATATATATACATATATATTATACTAGTACGGAATTGAAGAACATTTTCTGGAAATATCTTTAAAATGACAAACAAAAAATAGTTTCATAATTAAGCAATATTCTTGATAATCTATAATATAGTGTTCCGATTCGGCCGACATTTGTGGATATATCCAAAATTGGATGAATATGTGCCAAGTTAACTTAAAACTGAAAGAATACTTTGCATGAACACAGAAAGATTTACTTGACCAGATATTAACTAAGCTCACCATCCACTTGCATATATAACCCGGCATGGGAGATGCCGTCCCTTTAAGAATTTCAGATTTCGGGAAAGGGGTATAGAAGGAACAGAGACAGAATAGCCTCTGCTCCAATCCATCTGACTGAACTCATTGTCGATCTCTCAGAGATTATATAATATACTAGACCAAATATTATAGAGAAATGTTAATGCCGCAGTCAGATATTGCTTCTCGGAATAGGTGGACCATTTATAAGGCAGGAATATCTGCATTTGCCGTTTCCTACGAATGTTGTCATCGTCGCTTTAAGATCTGGTCTTTAAGTCTTTTCGGCCAGAGAACTCCGAGTGCAAACTGCGCAGTAGTTTCTGAACGCATTTCTCTTGATTCGACAGATGCCGGCCGGTATTTCCAGAGAACGGGGTTCAATAAACCCCGCCCCCCAAAATACATGAAACACATACACACTCATAGATGGAATATTCGCATCAAGGTGAAATGGAAATACACACTCGAGCAGCTTATAGATAACTTGGCTAGTCAGCTCTCAAGGTCCAGCAGCTGATAAAATATACAGAGATACAATAATTCAACATTAACATCAAGTGTTTATTGCATGAGTCGCTTACCAACTAAAATGAATCAATTAAATTAACACAAACTCAGTCAATATGACTGACAACTAAACTAGGAACGAACCACTTAAGAGCTACATGGACAACTAGATGGCATAAATATGAGAGCTAGCCCTATAAGATCAGCGTCAGGTGCGACAATATACAACTAGTTGGTTGGCTAATGATAAAAACATTCTGGATGGATGATGTTTGTGCGTTTTGGCAGTAGCTGCTTGGAATTGGGATGCTTTGTTCTTGGTGTGCGCTGTCTGCATTTACAGCTCCAGCTGGAACTGCTCCTGTTCCTCGATTTTCAGCGATTGCGTCTTCTTCGCCAGGTCTGTGGGAACGGGCACACACTTGCGGAAGGGTGTGCGGGGCGTGCCGCGCAGCAGGCAGCTGGGTATATTGCTGGGCGGCGTTTGGCTCAACGGGGATCCACGCAGGTTCTTCATGAAGGCCCGTTCATAGATCACCTTGGTGCCTGCAAAGATACGGTGGGAAATCAACTATTAGTCTACATTTAATTGATAATTGCATCAGACTCTGAACAGGTGATAAGGCACAGCTGCACGAGCTCATTTTAAAATTCATGAGTCACGGACATGTGCGCCTGGCCAGACTGAGTTCGAGGCCGAGTCCGAGTCTGGGATTGTTATCAGACAGCTGATTCACAGTTGCCAAAATTGTCAAAGTTGCATCAACTTACCGCCAGGTGTCGTGGAGTAGAGGGTGCCGCCGGGCGTGGAGGAGTACACTTCCGGCATTTGGATGGGATCGGTTATCACAACCTTCTTGGTCTTCGTCATGGCCAGGGGCAGCGCATGCGAGAAGGCTTGGCGAGCGGTGGGAGATGCAGACATCTTCTTTTTCTTGTTTATGCAACTTTGTTACTTTAAAAGAAACTTGTAAATCGTAATCGAACGACTATTGTTTGCGCGAAACTGCGTTGTTGAATTTGGCTATTGCTGTTTAGCTGCTGCTGCTGCTGCTGCTGTGTGTGCTGACTTGGTCGCTCTGCGAGTCCAATTGACGCCCAACAGCCGTGGGGAGCAGTATTTATACTGCTGGCTCTTCCTCTTTCGCGCCGTTAAGCGTGCAAACAAAACAAACGCACACATACACACGCACACACACGCAGCAATTGCACATTGTGCTCTCTTCGCGCGCTCTCTCACTCTCACGCTCAGCAGGGTAGCCGTCTGCTGATGTTTTTGTTGTTGCTTCTTGCTTGTTTTGTATTCTACAAAATTTCTGCGTAGTACTAGCAGTATATGGTTGTTGTTATTCCTGTGCAATATATTTATTGCTGTTGTTGTTTTTTTTATTTTCTTTCTTTTTTCTATATCTTGCCAATGCAGACCAGAGTGTTCGACTCATTTCGGTTTTGCTGTGGCGTCTGGGACGGCGTCAGCCTTGATCGGTCGCGGGCTGTTGTTGACCGGTTCTAATCTGTTTATCTTTGCCGCTTGTATTTATTGGTAAACAGTTATGTAGAAATACATACATATGTATGTGTGTGTAGACAAAACGCACAAACAAGAAGAACCAGAATATCGTATATCGATAACACTCGCATCGATTGCCGCACGATTGCATTTTGTTGACTCACCCGCTCATTATTAGGAAAAAAAGCACAAAAAACATACGCAAGTAAGTAATTAACATAAAGACACGTTGCCGGTCCAATTGGCTGACGCGTTTGGCCAGGCAGCATACCAATTAAATTGTGCGCCACGAGCCGCAATAACAACGTGCGGGGGCGCTGTTGACGACAGTTCGTGAAAATTATGCTACTTAGCAGCCAATTGCGACGTAGTTTGCCATTTGCCATTTTGGCCATTGGCCATAGCCTGATCTGCGGTTGGTTGTAATGGCACCACGTGTAGCAGCCCCCCGTTAATGTGGGACAATAGCTGCCACCCACGATCGCCGCAGATTTATCAATAGCAGCAAGGTTAACATGAAAGCCACGTGCTTTAATTTATGTTCAAATCGTACAGATCTGTGGCAACGCACTTGCCCATTGGCCTCGGTCTAAAGATAGTCGGCACTAGGAAAGTTTTTCTGCGCCTTTCGCCCGGCACCTGTGCACCAATTAACCCCATTGGCAGCTACATTTATCCATATCGACATACATAAGTGTGTATGTATGTATGTGTGCCTAAGTGCTGACCCTGTTAAGTGAGTTGATTAACAGCCGCATTACAGAGCACACCCGCCCCTTTGCCGTGCCAACCGTCACGTAGCGCAACAACATAAACAGTTAGCCCTACGTGCGGGTGTAAGCCTATGCAAGATTTTCATGCTGACTCTTCCTCTCTCTCTCTCCCTTTCTCTCTCTTTCAGGCGCTTTATATGTATCTTGCTCTCCTGCTCGCTTATCAACCCCCCTTGGATTTAGGAAACCGGTTTTAGTTTCGCTTTTTGTTTGTACCTGCGCAGTAGCCGAGGCAAGAAAATGCGTCGCGGGAAAATTTTCGGCATGGCAAACAGGTAAGATCTGTGGGGCAACCCCTAGACCCCGCCGTCGCATTTAAAAAAATGTGTGTGTTTTTCGAATTTCGTTAAATTCGGCACACGGCTGACGAAATTGCACGATGCCATTGCAGCAGCAGCAGCAGCTCTTTAAGTACGAAAATCTATCTATAAGTCTATACATATATAGTATTAGCATCTAAATTAAGCTATTTGTATTCAATGTGCTGATAGTTTCTCATGAATGGGGCGTCTCTTGCGCTGCCCGGCTCCGAGAGGCGCCTAAGCAGCATGCCTAAAACAAGCTAATCAACAAGTGGCAACGGGCACAACGCACTCTACATACTCTCTCTCTCTCGCTCTTATTTTTTGCGATTAAAATTCTGTTATGTACAGCTGATATGCTGCTACTGGGATTACAATTCTGTTATGTACAGCTGATATGCTGCTACTGGGATTACAATTCTGTTATTTACAGCTGCTATGCTGTTATTAGGTTTACAATTCTGTTATTTACAGCCGATATGCTGTTATTGATTCCCTCTCTCTCGCTCTCCCTTTTAATTTATTTTTCTATCATTTCCTCTTAAATTTAGATCATTTTAACTTGGATTTTTGAGAATTCTCAGTTTCTGTATCAATTGGAGTGCACTCGAACTTATCAATTCAGATGAAATATGGCCTATTCATTCCATTCACATTTGTCATATATGTAATTTTTGCCAAATATTGATAAGCATTCTAAAGTAAACAATGCTGCCTACCTCTATTCTAGTCTGTGAGCAGATAATGATGTGAAAAAGAAAAAATGATCGTCGCCTAAGTGCGCTTTTTAATATGAATATTTTATGCATATTTCCAAAGGGATATGCGAATTTTATATGCTATAATTTTGAGACTTAATATCTTAATATAGAAATACAACTTGAGAGAATATAGAAAATTGCGTTAATCTCTTTTACATTTAGGCATAGTGCCCAGTTACAGGGTATAGAGAATAGCATATTGCCTGTCCGTCAACGTCGATGACCCAAAAACAAATATTTGTGTGTTTATGTCTAGAAACCTGAAAACAAATGTAAATATGTATTTTATTTAAGATGACGCCGGCCCAAAAAGAACAACAACAACAACAAAATTCGAATCAGTTGACTTTGTTTATTCGAATTATGAAAAACAAACCAAAATAAACCAAATAGAATATTGTAAACAAAGGACAATATTTATTAGGCCTACAAATCAGAAGCTCGTATCAAAATGAAGCCTTGAGTTACGCCCTAGAAGATACGCGCTATATCGAGGTTCAGACTGCACGGCGCGTTTTTTTTTTTATTTTTATTTTCTTGAGAAGACAATCTGCAGCACGACTAGCTCGAGGAATAGGTTCAATAGCCAAGCTGATAAGTCGAAACTGTACGAATTTCGCATTATTTCCGAAATGCGATTCCAAAATATACCAAAAAAAAAAAAAAAAAAAATTGGTGGTCCATCAATAATGCATTGCAGTAAGAGTAAAGTAAAAGAAACTATGGAAATTTTCGAAAAGGAACTTGAAACCTTCGCAACGATCAATGAACTTTTTTTGTTTCTTTCACTTTCAGAACACGCGAGTTGCATGAACTTATGGAATAGCCAGTTTTATTGCCCTCACGAGAATAAAACAATGGTTGATGACGCGACCCGCGAATAAATAGTGATTCCGGCCTCTTTATTGTTAAAAGCTTTCCTTCATTTTCAACCATCTTGGCAGCCATGAAATCCATGCTCTATTCGGCAGGTTTGTTAGCTAATTGAAAAGTTCTCTATTTGAGCAAAGAGAGACTTAAATCAAGTGATTCTCTGTTTCTGGCTGCTCATGTATATTATTTATTTATCAGTTAACAGGCCAGGTATTGTTTTTACTGCATTCATATTGAATTGTGCAACTGTTAGTCATTATTCGATCGCGTTATCTGGCCGTAGTTTCTTGAATAGAAATCAACCAGCACTTGAACACTTTACATAAGAAACTAAACTGAACGTTAACCGGCTCGTAAATTATAAATGAATTTCTTAATTACGCCGTAGTATTAAGAAAACGTATACACGACAAGAATTCAGCATCTACTACTGCAAATTAATGCCTTCCTTTAACTTTAAACTCAATTAGAAGGTCAAATTAGCTTATATTTTAAACTATAATCAAAAGAACTAAACTACATTGCTCAATACAAAAAAAAAGCAATTTTAATAATACAAGCAGCTAACATTTAAATAAGAGCAATGCGCGCGTCAATTGGCGCCATCTGGCGTTCAAAAATAAAACAACCCTGTTTGAATATCGATAAACGCAGTGTGGCACAGCATGCCTATCGAACGCACAATCGGTAATTATTTATTTTTGGCGGGAGGTGTGCACACTCGCTGTCCGGCCAGGGACTGAAGAAATTAGTTTGAAATAAATTAATTAAAACAACTATGGATCTTAACGATGCCGTGCTAACGTGCGCGGTGAACATACACTGGACGAACGCGGTGGGCATAACCGGTCGCAAGCTGGCCTACAGGACGGCAACGCTGCGTCTGGTGCGCAACGATTTGCGTGAAATTTTCGTCGAGGTGACGCCCGAAAAGCTGAAGCCGCTCAAATTCAAGCTAAAGGACATAATGGTGCACAAGAAATTCATGGCCGAGGGCAAGGCCACGTTCAACTTCAAGGCGGAGCAATGCTCGCTCTACCTGTCCAATGCACCGCCCGGCACCCTGATGCTCTTCCTGCGCACCATATTCATCAAAATGAATGGCGGCGGAGACGGCGCACTGGACGATGCGGCCTTGCAAAAGAAGCTGCGCGAACAGATGCTGGGCTCAAGGCCCAGCAGCTTTGAGGAGATCTCACCGGTGACCACGGCCGAAATGGTTTTGGCGCGCAAAAAGGCGGGCCTTATAACGCGTGCCAGCACGACCACGCCCTCGCCGCAGGCAGCCAAAAAGCGACGCTTCGAGGAGCTCAAGGGTGCTGGCGGCGAGGCTGGCCAAAGCGTGCCCGCTGCCAAAAAGCTGTATGCAGCATCGCCACTGGCCGCCACGCAAACGGAGGACTCGCTGCGTTTGAACGAGGAGCAAATGGAAGTGTTGCGCGCCTGCCTTGCCGGCAAGAATGTCTTCTTCACGGGCTCCGCCGGCACGGGCAAGAGTTTTCTGTTGCGCAAGATCATCTCGGCGCTGCCGCCGGAAGGCACCGTGGCCACGGCATCCACGGGCGTGGCCGCCTGCCTAATTGGCGGCACGACCTTGCACGCATTTGCCGGAATTGGCGGCGGCGATGCCACGGCTCAACGTTGTCTCGAGCTGGCATCGCGTCCCGTTGCCGCGCAGACTTGGCGCAAATGCAAGCGTCTAATCATAGACGAGATCTCCATGGTGGATGGCCAGTATTTTGAGGTAAGATCTCGAGCTGCAGCCACTGACAAACGAAAGCTAATCCTTGACAATTGCAGAAAATTGAGGCTGTGGCGCGTCACATACGCCGCAACGAGCGTCCATTTGGCGGCATCCAGCTGATACTCTGCGGCGACTTTCTCCAGCTGCCGCCCGTCGTCAAGGGCGAGACGGCCGTGCAGCGGTTTTGCTTTCAGTCCAGCGCCTGGGAGAGCTGCGTCCAGTGCGTCTACGAGCTGAAGCAGGTGCATCGTCAATCCGATCCGGAGTTTGTTAAAATACTCAACCATTTGCGCATTGGCCATGTCAACGAGACCATCGCGGCCAGGCTGGTGTCCACGTCAAAGCAGAAGATCGAAGGCAATGGCATTTTGGCCACGCAGCTGTGCTCGCACACGAACGATGCCAACTCCATAAACGATTCGAAGCTGGAGCATTTGAGCGGCGACAAGGTGCTGTTCCGTGCCGAGGACTCGGATGCCGGCATGAGCAAGCAGCTCGACCAGCAAGTCCAGGCTCCCGCACAGCTCTATCTGAAGATCAATGCACAGGTAATGCTGCTCAAGAATATCAATATAGCCAACGGCCTGGTCAATGGTGCACGCGGCGTTGTTGTGCGCATCGAGAAGGGTCTGCCCGTGGTGCGCTTCAAGAACAACCAGGAGCACGTGTGCCGGCACGAGAAGTGGATCATTAAGACGGCCACGGGCGGCGTGCTGACACGCCGTCAGGTGCCGCTCAAGCTAGCCTGGGCCTTCTCCATACACAAGAGTCAGGGCCTGACGCTCGACTGCGTCGAAATGTCGCTCTCCAAGGTGTTCGAGGCTGGGCAGGCTTATGTGGCGCTGTCGCGCGCCAAATCGCTGCAATCCGTGCGCATTCTGGACTTCGATGCCAAGCAGGTGTGGGCCAATCCGCAGGTGCTGCAATTCTACAAGAACTTCCGGCGCCGGCTCATCGACACCAGCCTAATACCGCTGGGGCCCAAGAACAAGGACAAAAAGCCGGCCGCCGCCGGCAGCACCAGCAGCGCCCTGGCCAAGCTCAAGAAGAGTCTCATGAACAAGCCGCTCGTCTCGATAAGCTAGTTAAATGCGATACCGCGACTGATCTTTTAGCAACAAATTCGTAGCTCGTAAGGACTGAAACAAGGCTTTACCATTTTGAGGCTGCCGCCGAGCTGCCTCAAAGTCCAAAGTCCTTGACAAATCTTAGCAACTAGACTTAAATTTGACACATCTGCAATTATTGCTGCCACAGTTTTTGGCGCCAGACCAAATCTCTCTGTCTCAAATCGTCTTAATTTTATTTACAACAAGTACGATTCGGGATGCCGAAGATTAATTAATTCTATAAGAACTGTTGATGGTAATCAGGAATATGCTCCTCGTCCTGATTTCGTATCAATATACAATATCTTCGACAAATGTCTGGGACTAGACCGCAAATAAACGCTAGCTTGTAACTTTTTTTTACAATATAATTCCCAACTTGTTTAAACATAGTCTAATAGAAAGAATGTCCTCATTCCTGGCTTAACTGAAAGAACATTATTGCTGGATGAAAACCAAGCATAGCCGTAATTTTTCTACAGTTTGTGTATATATTTATGTAAATCCACGTCACAGGCTTCGAACATTTGATGGTTTTTCGTATGCAATTTGTGGCGAAGGCTTTTTAATGGGCCACATTATCCTCGTCCTTCATGCCGCTGCCAACTGGACCGTGACGTCGCTCCCAGATGAGGCGATGCTTCTGCTTCATGTATGCGGTCTTCGCATTGGCATAGCCGCCCAAGTCGCCATCTGTCAGGGTGGAAAAATGTGATATATAAGATGGGGGCAACACTTTAAAGGAAGCTGTCTGGAGGTCGTACACTTGATGAACCAGTTCTCGGTGGCCTTTTCGTATTGCTCGAGCAGTGGCTTGCATTTGACCATATGGTCGGGCGCCTCGTACAGGGTGCAATCCTCGAAGCGCTGCCGCAAGATGTTCAAAACCTCGTTGTCCACCATGCGATCCCGCCGGAACTGCTGATCCGCCTCGAAGCGGCAGACGGCATCGTCTGTGTAGCACTGATCGATGGTCGGTACGCGACGGAAGCGCTGATGGTACCAATTGGTCTTCTGTTGATTCGGTTCGACAATCGATTCTGTGCGTTCGTTTCAACATGTAAACAAAAACAAAGCCGCTGTTAGATTTGAGGTTATGTCATTATGTAATTTGCCAAACGGCATTTAATTTGTGATGCGCTGCGAAACTTGCAGCTTTAAGTGTTGCATGCGTAGCGCATTCGTGTTAAATGCAGTTTATTTCAATAATTGGCCGCATTTCTTACCACGAAACCAGGTGATGGGTCCATCGATTGTATCCTGTACGGATTGTACAAAGCGGGCCATTGGGCTGCGCGGCTCCGGCATTTTGTAGCTTGTCTCAACTGTAAATTAGCAATTGTTTGCAATTACAAAGTATTTCTTTTGATTTACTTTGTTATTTTATGCATTCTGCATAAAATCTCAATTTTTACCCAAATTCCAATCAGCAGCTGTAAAACAACAAACAGCTGTTTGTTAAGTGTGAAGAGCACAGCTATACAGCCCAAATTATGTTTTCCACAAGGTGGCAGCTTGGCGAAATCAACGTTGCGTGCGATAACATTGTTATCGATTGCCCTGACAGCTGTAACGTCTCGTCGTTAGCTACCCTGCGTAGACACATGTGCCCGCAACATGACAGCAAGTGGCAACATTCTAAATTGCTAAGCAACATATCTCTTTAAGAGGGTCGCGCTTAAAGTTACGAAAACCTTTCGATTATCTAAGACAGTAAGTTATTTGTATACTAATTAGCATTTATGCATAAAAAAACGCTATTTGCGAAATGTTGTATTTATGTTTTTATAGCAAATATTTATTGCTGCAAACGTCGATCGCTTTGAAACGAGTTTTTGCCAATTCTAAATTCTCTCTAATATTCGACATGGCGCCAAAAGCACAGCAAAGAAAAAAAACAAAAGAAAAGAGAAGGGCCAAGTGCTGCAGAGAAACTTGGTGGTTGCTGCTGTTGCCAGAGAGACCGTTCGTCTGTTTTGTATCCGTAAGTTTAAAGAGAGAGCGCGTGTCTGAGAGCGCGCGAAAAAGATACGTTCGAGGCGCTCTTTGCAATTGCCGCTACGCAGCGAACATTTTTCAACAGTTTTGTGGCGGTCGTCAGAAAGCTCGCACGTGCGAACGCGAAACGGCAAGTTCGACATAAGCAGAACAACAATAACGACAGCAACAGCAGCAGCAACAACAACAACAAAATCAAAGAAACAAAACGAAAACACAAAACGTCGTGTATTTTGAGAGCGCGCCTGCAGAGTGCAGGCTTTTATTCGCGCGCGCGTGTGTGTGTGTGCGTGCGTTTGTTGTTCTTGTGGCAGAGGAGCTAAATAGCAAAGAGCAAAATTCCTAAATAAATATTCAATAACGAATCTGGTCGTTAAGCATGCAAAAATAAAGAAGATATCAAATAAGAAATTAAATAAAATAAAATAAAGTTTATAAATAGTGCACAAACAAGGCGGCAAACGGCAGCGGTCGCATTCACAATTGTCAGGCGGCGGCGTTTTAGCCTCTGCCGCCTGCCAGTTGCTGTCGCCGTCGACGTCGACGTCGCTGTCGCTGTCTGTGTGCGTGCGTGTGAGTGAGTGTCTGTGCGTCGTCGTGTATGTGTGTGCGGCCGGTGTGTGTTCCGTTCCAGTGTCTGTGGCTGCGTCTGTGCCCGTGTCTGTGTCTGTGTCTGCGTCTGCCGGCCTGCGTCTTCTCGTCTACGCCAGCGTCTGTATCTTTGTATCCGTCTCGGTTGCGTCGCGTCGCGTCGCGTTGTCGTGCGGTTTTTTTGCAGCGCGCCCAGATAAATGTTAAGCATACGAAGTGGAAATTAATTTATGGCAAAATTTAATAAGTGAGTGCCACAACCACAACAACAACAACAACAACATCGTCGCCTCAAAGTGCGCACAAAGTTTTAAATTTAGCACAAAAAAGCAAAATAGATAAATAAGACAAAATTGTGCACGTCGCCTGCAGCAGCAGCAGCAGCGCAGCAGCAGCAACGTCAGTGTTGACGCTGGCAGAGCGCAACACGCGCGCCTTCAAAACACACACACACAAACACACATACACATACATATATGCTACAAAAAAAGCTCGCAGCGCAGCAAGCGCTACGCAGCGCCGTCGGCAAATGCAGCGCCTAAAATAATCAAATAAGATGAAAAATGCGCGCAAAAAAAAAACAAATTATCGAAAAAAGTGCCAAAATTGTTAACAAATATCAATAAATAAATGCAATAAATAAATTGAGCGAACGACAATGTGAAAGCCGCAGACAGTTTCAGCAGTAAACCGAACAAATAGCAACAAGCTTCAAGAAAGAATCAGCGTAAGAGAACAGGGAGAGGGAGAGGGAGAGGCAGAAGGAGTAGTAGCAGCAACAACAATCGGGCGCGTGTTATCGATAACTGAGCGATATCATGACCGAATACGTGACGCCGATGATCAGCAGCGTGCTGAAAAAATACCAAACGAGCGCCACAAAAAGCTTACAGGGCCCCGCCGTGGCGCTCATCAAAAAGGAACTGTCCAGTTCGCCGGAACCGCACGAACCGCTGCATGAACCGAGCGGCATCGTTGGCAACGCTGCCATCGGTGAGCGTGCACAGTTATATGCGGCACCGCTGCCACTGCCGCCGGAATTGTCGCAACCGATCCTAACACAGCCGGACACGGACTGCGGCGAGCTGTACGAGACGCGGCTGGAGGGCAAGACCATCGGCTGTTTTTCGCTGGGCGGCGAGATGCGACTGTGCCTGCCGCAATTTCTGAACAATGTGCTCAACGATTTTACGCTGGATCAGATCAATGGCATATTCGAGGATCTGGGCATTTCGTGTTCGCAGTGCACGCCCGATCAGCTGGTCGAGTTCAAGGCAGCCAAAATTCTGCCCTCCGATGTGAAGGGCAGCGGCCTAATAACGCGCACCGACGCCGAACGCCTCTGCGCCGCCCTGCTGCATCGCTCCGATCGGAACAGCTATGTGCCCGTCGAGAGTCTGGGCAAGGGCGCGCTCAGCTTTCAGGTGTATCACAAGTGCTTTGGCAAATGCGAGGGCATCTGTACGCCGGACATGTACTCGTACCAGAAGCCGACATGCATCCAGTGCTTGGAGTGCAATTGCTGGTTCTCGCCCCAGAAATTTGTGGGACATGTTCATCGCAAGGTGGAGAATCGCACCTGTCATTGGGGCTTCGATTCACGCAATTGGCATGATTATCTGCACGTGGCGCTCGACGTGGAGAATCGCGAGAAATATCAACGCATTTTGGATCAGCTCAAGGAGGTCGAACTGAAGGAGATGCACAAGGCGCAGTGCGAACTGGATCACAAGAAACGAAAGGTGAGCGAACGCTAGTTCTTTTTTCAATTGGTGGTTCGATAAATTGGAACTAGTTCAATTTGACTGAGTTCTAGCTCTGTTTAAGCTTTCCGTATTCTTCGTTGAGTCATGTTTGACAAAATTTAGATGGTTCTTCCTTCAAGTAGTTCACGAAGAGTGGTTTGATAAATTGGAACTAGTTCAATTTGACTGAGATCTAGCTCTGTTTAAGCTTTTTTGATAAATTTGAACTAGTTCATTTCGACTGAATATCTGCTTGAGCTTTTCCTATTCTTCGTTGAGTCGTAATTTGACGATTTGAAAGATGAAAGATAAAGTATTCGAAAAGCAGACAATTTTTAAGTTGAAAAAAACTTAAAGCTTCTGCTATTAATATTATTTTATTTTTCTTAAAGGGAAATAAATTATGAAGACACTAAAATTCTAATAAAAATGAATATTTTGTTATTCATAATTTCTGGTTTCTAAAATAAAAACAAACTTCAATTTTTTTGAGCAGCTTTTCACTTATTTTGATTTAAAGCTTGCTCTTGATTTACGAACATTTTTTCACATGTACAGTTTTGCTTCTTTTTTTCTTCAATTATTTGTTAGATTAATGTGAATGCATGTTTATGTATTTTTTTGTTAAAAGTAGTTTTAATTTCTTTAAAATGCGTAAGCTACGCTTCTTAAGCACACGCACACGCACACGCACATGCATTACATGCACTATTTTTCATTTTTTTCGCTTTTTGGCTAGTACCGTTAAAGCATTTGCTGCGTTTCAAAAGCAGGTTGGCTGTCCCGCTGTTCCCTCTTCCACCGATTATGTGCTTTGGCCCTCAATTCCGCTGGCTTCCAATCAGAATTGAAAAGCGCCGTCGCTTGCTTTACACCTTCGGCTACTGCAGCGCCCACTAGCGGCGACTGAGGCGGCGCCATATTTGGTTGTCGCTGCTGTTGTTGTTGTTGCTGCTGCTCTTCTTGTTGTTGTTCTTTTATTCTCATTCACATTTCGCATTCGCATTCAATTCGATCTTCTTTAACGACATTTCGTCGCTTGCGCGCCCGTTAAAAGCTCATCAAAATACAAAAGGCTAGTCAAGCGCTGAGAGTGACAGAGACAGCATTCGCCTTCGCTGCGGAGCGACACTCATAAAAATGCGCAGCATTTAAAATTATGCAAATATTATAAATTTTGTGTGTTTTATTATTTTTTTTTTCTTCTTTTGAAATGTATTCTTATATTTAAATGCCAGTGCAATTTTCTGTCTCTCTCTCTCTCTCTCTCTCTCTGTAGCATGCTGCACCCCCCCCCCCCCCCCCCAAAAAAAAATTGCCGTTGATCCGGCCACGTTCGTTTTTTTGTTGTTGTTGTTGTTGTGTTTATTTATTTAAACTACTTAATTTTATGCTTAAACAGCGCACTCGATTTTTTTGTTGGTTCTGTTTTTTTTTTGTTGATTACAATAAATACCAGAGTGTTTTTTTGTTGGTTTGGCCCAAAGCTTTTTTTGTTGCGCGCAGCCAGCGCGTCTGCTGTGGCCGTGGCCGAGGCGACACTCTGCAGCGGCCAACGACGACGACGACGACGACGACGGCGACGCCGACGACAAGTTGTCTCTGCTGCTGACGTCTGTTTACTGGCAAACAGCAAGAACAATGACGAACGTTGATTATTTTTAGTATTGCGACGACAATTGAGATGCCAATTTGTGAACCACATTCATTAGCTAAATCGATCAAAAGCTACGTAGAGAGAGAAACGGAGAGAGCGCAACACTGAGAGCAGCAGCAAAGTACAACTCCATGCGCTGCTCTCTCATTAGCTAATTGCTGCACTGAGTTCGATAACATAATTATCGCTATCGATACCTGTTAACAGCACTCGATTTGTGTTGCTCTTATTGTTATTTTCGTTTATTTTTTTTTTGTCTGTCATTGTGCTGCTTGTTGTTGACTGCAGGCAGACGGCAGGGCTTCGCACCAGCTTCAATGTTAAATATTCAGCAAATATGTAATAATAATGAGCAAAAGGGTTACCGGGGTAAGCAGGGATAGGTGGCTTTAACGGGTAGCAAGGGCAAAAATAAATCGCAAACCGGTTAATGTCTGTCTGCTGTCTGCCGCCTGCTGCTCTCGCTCTCGCTCTCTTTCTCTCTCTGCTGATGCTGCTCTTGTCTTGGCTGTCGCGCAGTCGCAGCAAAGCCAACAACCAGCGGCGTTTGTTGCGCAAAAAAGGAACACACAAACATTACTTATATATATATATATATATATATATATATATGTGTGTATGCGTGTTTGTTTGTATCAAACAATAACAAGCAGAAGCAGCGGCAGTTAGCAGACAGCGAGCTTGAGCGAGAGGGGCGATGCTACAGAGCGCCCCCAAACGGGCGCAGCATGCAAACAAACTTGCTTTGAAATGCCAATGAACGTGATAGACGACGACAGCAACAACAACAGCAACAGCAAAAACAATAACGACGCCTGACGTTGTCACGCGGCGCAGACTTTGACTGAGCAGTCGGCAGACCTTTTTTATGCTTGTGTGTGTGTGTGTCTTTTTCTTTTCGTTGCCCTTCGAAGAGTTGTGGTCGCTGAGCTTTTTTTTTTGTGTTGTTGTTGTCCGGCGCCTATGTGTGACTAATCAAGTTGGCAGCCCTCGCAGTCGCCGTCGCCGTCGGCGTCGCATTCGCCTGTTGACTTTCGCTGCCTGCGTCTGCGTCGGAGTCTCTATCTCGCTCTGCTTAGCTGCTTACATAACAACTCCCCCCCCACAGTGTTTTGCACACAAGAATCTCAAGTCGCAAATATTTTTTAAGCGCTTTCATGTTTTCGAAACGAAATTAAAAACATTTTGAACTGGTTTAAGCGCTGACTTCTTGTTGTTTTGCTTATCAACAAATTACCAAAATTTACATACAATGATTTTATTTAATCACTGCGTATACTTTAAATATATATACATACATATGTGTGTATATATATATTTTAGTTATTGTTTTTTACGCTTTTTGTTTGTCGGCCGTCGTCGTGTTTTTTTTCTGGTTGTATGCATGAAATTACAAATCTTCAAAACCAACGCACGGCACGTCCAAAATCGCCGTGTTTTTTTTTTGTTAATCCGCAATTTGGACATTCGCTTATCTTATATTTGCTCGCTCCCTCTCTTTCTCTCTCTCTCTGCGCCAGGCTGATAACTCGGCGAAAAGTTGCGCTGACCACGTTTTGGGCTGGCGAAAAGAAATTAAAAAAAAAAACAAAGAAGGGCGTAAAACGCATTTGGTCAGGGTTAAGTCCACTCGAAGAGCAGCTAATAAAAAGCCCAATCGATTTAGTCGCTACTTTACAATGTACTTGTTACGTCACAAGCAACGGGCAAATCAGTCATCAGGCAGACACGTGCTCCCTTACCTTCTCTCTCTCTCTCTCTCTCACTCTCTCTGCCTCTTTCTGTGCTCATTTAAAGTTAATTTGGCATACAATTTGATTAGTGATCATTTTTGTGATCAGCTAATTGGTTTGTCATGAAGAAATCGCCTCCAATTGCCTTGGAAATTCCGAAAATAGTTCATGTGACATGTCCTAGTTAAGCTGCATTTGATTAGGATTTGTTTCAACTTATTATCATAGAAATATTCCCGAAAATTAAGTCATTGTAAGTATTAAGAAAAATTTTAAATTTTAATATTCTAATTCTATATTCAAATAAATTTATCTTGTAAACTTGAACAGGCAGCTTTTTAAAATGAATATATTTTGATCTAAAAAAAAGTAGCAGAAAATGTCAATATCTTGTTAAGCAAGAGACTTAAAAATCTGTAAGTCTTGTCTCAGCTTAAGATTCAAATGCTTATTCCAAGACTAATTGAATCATTTTCTATGCTTAAAACAAGTTGTTCTTAAAAATATGGTGCCTTCCATGAGGTACACCTTACGCCCATGAACTAACTTTTAGTCTGTTCCACTTATGCATACACATATATGCCATACAGATATTCATGTGCTTTGTGTGTGTGCATATTATTATTAACTTCAGGGATTTGCTTCGCTGAGCTTGTTGGGAGAGCTGACAGTTGGCGATGTGATAAGCGCGATAAGCCAGCAAGAGAGAGAGAGAGAGAGAGAGGGAGAGGGGGAGAGTGCGTTTCTTTTATATATTTTGCACTGATCTAGTAAAAACCCGCTGGCAAGTCTCGAGACCTCCTTGCATCATCATCATCATCATCATCATCGTCGTCGTCATCATCATCAGCATGTCATGTGATGTTGCTAGTTGCTTGCTTGTTTTTATACCCTCTGCCCATTAAGGTTGGCTAATAACAGGGTATATGGCTATAGAGCAAGCGTATGTCACGGACATGGGCAGATATCTGCGACTATATAAAGTACGTGTCTATATAAATTGTTGATCGGAAGCTGAGTTTATCTAGGTTCATGGGTTCGTATCAAATCGATAAATATCGAGCAAATCGCAGAGTTAGACTGGAAATAAATGGAATATAGAAATCGATTTTACGTAAATGCAGCACAATATTCATGCGTATCAAACACAGATGAAGTTAACCTTTTGCTAAATCGATAAATATCGATTTATAGCCTCTGCATGTCGTGGAGATAGACTTGAAATTTGCATAAGGGCTTTCGATTATCGATACTTCTCCACGTTGCATAAAAATCGATAAATATCGATACATTGCTAACATTTTTTTTTGGTCGAATATACCTAAATTTTTGGCATACCAAATTAAATGTCATCTTTCTTGAATATATAATAAAGATCGGACGGTCAATATAAAACCCATGGGGGAACAAAATGTTCATGGGGCTGGGAGAAAATGCAAAACCTGCTGGCTACAGATCATCTCCTAGTCGATCAGTCTCCACTGAAGCGCGCGCTCTTTTCTTTTCTATTATTTTATATAAAAGCCTGAACTCAGAACCAAAAGGCAAAGTCTCCGAGGTGCGGCCGGTTCTGGGCTTGGGCTCAAGTACACAACTATGAGTACTGAGTACTTGCTGGCTTTATTGTTGTTGTTGCTGTTGTTGTTGTTGTTGTTGTTGTTGTTGTAGCTGGGACAGGTGTGTGCCTGCCCAGAGCCTCGGGCATGCTGCTCTGTGCCGGATAATGCGTCGTTTATCGCTGATCTTAAATCTAAATTGTTTGTTGTTGCACTTCCATTGCGGGCCGCCAGGCAGACTAGACCCAGACCCAGACCCAAAGCCAAAGCCAAAGCCAGAGCCAGAGCCAGACTCAGAACCAGACACCGATACAGACCCGTCTTAAAGTCTGCCCCTGCAGCTGCCGCGGCCCGACCGCCCTCTGTCCACTTAGCAAATGTTTAAAAATCATTCTCATGTTTATTTTAATTAAGCCCAACGATTAAATTTGAGCGTTCGACTTTTTTCTTTCCCCCTCCCCCCTTCCTCTCTTCTTTTTTTTATTGTTGCTAATGATATTGGCGTTTCTCTCAAATTGTTGTTGTTGTTGTTGCTTATCGATTTTCAATTGATTTGAGAAATTTGTGTTTATTTTTTTTTCGCACACACACAAATTAGTGAAAATATTTAAATAACCGAAACGTGTTTCCAACATTTTATTGCTAGCCTTTTTTTTTGCCGCTTCTTTTTCTTTTTCTGTTTTTTTTTTTTGAAGGTGCAAACTTATTATGTAAATATTTTGTCAACGATTCCGTTGTTGTGCACTTGTTATTGATATCGTTAGAGTCTGGAGATTTTCTTAGAATCTAACATAAGTTGCGCTAGTTAATAAATAGCTTCAAAGTATTTTGGGCTAAGGTCAAGAAATCGCTTTGCGTTTGAGGCTGGGCAACAGAATATTTTGTCAAGCATCGTTTCGCAATTGTCATCGTTTCCTTAGTAAAAGTTATAATAAAAAAGCTATAATAAAAACAAATAAATAGATTAAATTGGCTTGGCGCCAGGGTTGCAGCCGAATTGATGGACAATATTCAGCGCAAGTTGTCACCAGGGTTGCATTACTTTGTCACAACATTTAGTCAGTTTTTAAGAGTCTGATTTTTATTTCTCATAAAGTTAATGTCGCCTAAGTTTATTTTCTTGTAAATACTACATTAAGTAGCTGACAGTACAATATTTGGATAGAGTTGTCGCCAGGGTTGCATTAGTATAGCGCACAATTTTGTCATTGTCTAAAAGCGCCTTTAGACCGATTTTCAATTCTAATCATGATTTTACACACACTGGATAATTTTTGAATAATTTCATATATTATAATATATATTTAATTTAATTGCATATATTTATTTTGACATTTTCGTCCATATCAAGTATACGACAAGTATTCCACAAGTTCTGCAAATGCGTGCAATAAATTCTCGCTCATAGTACCACTTCTGACCGCTAGATAGCGCCCGATTTATTAAGTAGCCGACGCGTAGTTCACATGAAATTGTGGCCAAATTTATTTGTTAAACATTTGTTTGCATCGCGATCAACGCATTTCCTGGTAAAGGGCATTGCGTAGTCGTCGACACGTTCGACTCTGTACTTCGGCACATTTCATATATTTTTATTTATTTTCACTTATTTTGCTAATAGGCAATGACCTCGTTTTGGTTTGATGTTATGCTTGTCGTTGTTGTTGTTTTTATTGTGTTATTGTATTAGTTGCGACTTAAAATGTGTTACAAATGTAGCAACTAAATTTTATATACTATGCACAGATTATGCATGTCTCTCTCTCTCTCTCTGTGTGTGTGTGTGTGTAGCTAATAATTGAATTGAAGCTGCGCAGCTGATAACGTATAGTATATATAGTACATGGAGCACATCTAGTACATATACTACTTATAATATATTTAATAAAATATTACTTATACATTTATGAGTTTGCCTTGCGCAGTTCTTTCTTATCTGTCTGTCACTACACTCAAAGAAAAGCGATGTAAGAAATTTAAATACAAACATTTGCTTGCAATTTCGCTTTTAAACATTTGCAAAGTAAGCGTGGCCCAGTTTTGATAATATAGCTTGAAAAAACTTGAAAAGTAGCTTTAAATTATTATTGAAAGAATTTTAGCATACAATTTCTTAAATAAATTTCCAAGTTTGTGTCTTGTGTAAATGAAATTTGCACTGAACAAATATTCTTAAAATAAGAACTTGTTTCTTAGTTTTTGAGCCTAAAAATATTCTTAATAAGAGCTTGATTTTTAAGTCTTAAAATGAGAACTTGATTTTGGACTTTAAAAATATTCTTTAAATAAAAAAAGTTCCTTTGTTACGTTTCGCGCATAAAAGTATTCTTAAAATAAGAAAATGATATGTAGATCTTGGACTTGATCAAAAATATTCTTAAAATAAGAAACAGTTTCTTCTTGGAAAACTTGTCTGGCTTTTTGTGGGGGGGTATTTTTTTTTTTTTCGTTTTCTCTGTGTGTCTAGTTTTCGCTCTGATTGCGCTTATCAGCAAACGTTTGGCAATAATAATTCTTATCGCTGGCCACTTCAACTGGCACTTCATATCCATAATCTGGCCGGGGGCACCTATACGACGGCCACGTCTAAGCGTCGTCTTCCGCGGCAGACGTGACAGAATTTGCATATGAGACGTTATCACAAATCTCAAAAGCTGGGCAACATTTCAGTTGCACAATGATGATAACGCCATGATGATGATGATGATGATGATGATGATGATGATGGTGTTGATGGTGTTGATGATGATGTCGGTCATTCCACACACACTCACACACACACACACACCTGCGCACAGTCACTGAGCGAGTTGTTTACAAGCGATTTCCTAGTGTCATTTCCCATGTTCGCGCTGGCCAAACGTTTCCGTCATTTGTTGTTGCTAACCGGCCTGCCTGCCTGGCCCCTCTCTTAAGCCCCCTTTTTGGCCTTGCCACTGACAGCTTACACCTGGCTAGCACACACACACACACACTCACACACACACACACACACGCACGCAGGTGACGCGACGCGACTTGCTTCACTGGTTCTGTTTGCTCTTGGTTCTGGTTCTGGTTCGAGTTCTGGTTCTGGTTCTGTTCTGCTTTTTGGACCATGTTTGTTTCCTTCCTATTTGCTTAACGGGTCGCCTTTGGTCGCCAGCGTCTAGGCGGAAAGGTCTGTCCACCTGTCCATCTGTCCGACTGCCCAGCTGCGTCCACGCCAGTCCATAAAAGTCTGATAAAGCGCACAGCAAGAGCTCTTTAACAATCATCGCTAATTGCCAGCCAATTGAAGTTCACTGCAAAAAAAAGAAAAAAAAAAAAAAGCCGAGAAGAAAAATGTAATCACAACAGCTCTAATAATATATTGTACTTTCGCATAATTGCTGGTAATTGCTTATTAAATGACATATGCGAGTCGAGTAGCTCGTTTGCCAATAATTTCGCCAATTTGTAGTTTTTTGCGCAGAATATCAATCGCAGCAATTGCTTTCCTCATGCGATAAGTTGCATATTCAACCACAATGGCAAAAATAAAAAAAAAGTTTTTTTTTAGCATTATTTTTATTTTAAAAATATCTTTAAACATGGTTAAACTTATTTGAATTTCAGTTCCAACAATATGCACACAATTTTTGAAATGCAGTGTTGCAAAATGTTTTAGTAGTTTTTTATGCATCCTCACAAAAGCATTATTAACTTAGCTCTACTCTGTTCCGCCTCTTAATTGGCATATTATTTCAATTGATTGTGATCAATAAGGTTGTCTAACTGTGCGATATATTTGATCTTCAGTGTTGGGCAGTGTTATAGTAGTTCTTTGCGTCCATTCAATGGTAATCGATTCATATCTCTACTTCATTTCGCAAAAGGTACGAAACATGATTTAAGTTTACATCAATTTGCAACAGTTCTAATTGAATTGATTGCGATCAACATGGTTGTCAAAATCCTTGCAATTCGGACAGCCAGTGTTGTAAATGTTATAGTGTTACAAATGCTTATACCCTTCACCCTACTCCATCTCTCCACAGGTATATGCAATGTTTATTATTTAAACACTATTTGCTAAATTGATAGTTGAATTGATTGCGGTCACAGCTTGGTCAAAATGGCTGTCAAAATGTGAGCATTTTTTGACATTCAGTGTTGTGAAGTGTTAAAGTAGCATATGCTGTTGCTGTTGCCAGTCTACCGAATTGACATAACCTTGTCAAAAGCTCGGAACGGTTGGCATGTGGTCTCGGTTTGCATTAGGGTTTGGTTTCTGCCTTTGGCAATAATTTGCTGTGTGCACTTGTCATGAGCTAATTGATTGACAGCAATTGTAATTTGAGACCTGACATTCGCTTTTATGGGGCATTTTGATAATGATGCCCCCAGACCCAGACCCAGACCCAGGCCCAGTCGAGTTGCCCGTCTAAGTGGATAAATCTCGCAAGTTTATCTCGATATCTGTCGACGCTCTGGCTGCACTTTCACACGCGACAACAACAACCAAAGCAACATTGACAACGACAACGACAACAATTGCCTGTGTTTCTTGTTATTGTTATTGTTGTTCAGCTACAAAATTGTGTTACATTTGCGTGTTGCTGTCGCTATTGTTGCTGCTGTTGTTGTTGTTGTTGTTGTTGTTGTTGCCGCATTTGGGTGGGTGTTTTAAATTTCAACGGCTACCCGTGTTGAGCATCGAGCCAAAAGGCATCAAGCGAAATTCTAGACGTTTTGCACGTCAAATGTGGCGGTTGTTGTTGTTTTTATTGCTGCTGCTGCTGTTGCTGTTGCTGTTGCAGCCGCCTGTCACTGCGCATGAGTGAACATTGAGCCGAGAGTCGTCTAGCTATGCGAGAGCATTGCAAAAACAATAACAACAGCCAAAACAACGACAACAACAAAGTCGACAACGACGTCAAATGTAAATTTCGCGCGACATGGCGGCAAATGCAACAGCAACAACAACAGCAACAGCAACAGCAACAATAGCAGCACCAGCAGCAGCAGCAGCAGCAGCAGCAGCGGCAACAACAACCACCCGCACACCGTCTCTAGGCCGGCGTTTGCCTGTTGTAAATGATATTGTCGTCACACGAACACATACATATACATTAGCATAGTTTGTTGCTGTTGGTGACGCTGTGGATGCCACAGAATGTATTGCACCTCCCCCTACCCAACCTAACTCAAGACTACAGCAATGACGCTGCCAATACACTAACTTACATATCCATTAATAAGTTAACTGAGTTGATATTCATATTCATATGCATATTCATATTCATATTCATATTCATATTCATATTCATATTCATATTCATATTCATATTCATATTCATATTCATATTCATATTCATATTCATATTTATATTCCTATTCCTATTCCTATTCATATTCATATTCATATTCATATGCATATAAAGTTAACAACATTAATGTTAATGTTAACATTCCTGTTTAAGTTAACATTCATGTTAACTATAACAGCTTCTGTCTGCCTTCTGTTATCTGCACTCTATGTAGGGCATCTGCGTTTCGTCTTATCCTTTAATCAGTTGCACTATTTACTTTACCAACACTGGCTGCTGTTGTCGCAGGCACTGAGCTATAAAAAGCACTAACATTGTCGTCGGCCCCAAGCCCCCAAACAGGCCGCTAAACCTCCACTAACCGCCGTCATCGTCGCCCCCCCCCCCCCCCCCCCCCCTAGTTAGGGTTGGGCTGTTGATTTTTTTAAATTGGCGCACGCAAATTGCGCACATAACCTCAAAGTGTTTGCGCCCCTGCAACCGCGTGGGCCGACCCCTCGCGCCAAAAGTCTGCGCTGACGTCGACGTCAACTTCGACGTCGTGGCTTGCCGTCGACTCGGAAAAGGGGGGCACGCGACCCGCGACTCAGCTAATGAAATATAAGAAGCTGACGAGGCGTCGAAGACGACACTGAGCGTTGGGCGCAGGGGGGAGGGAGGGGGGGGGGGTGGGTAAATGAGAAGAGGTCTACCTGGATTCGTGTAATTATAACGTAACGTGCTTTTAACATTTCTTTGCTGTTGCTGTTGTTGTTGTTGTTGTTGTTGTTGTTGTTGTTGTTGTTGCATTTGCTGTGCTTTGTTTTTGTATTTAATGAAATGTTTGACTGGCTCTCAGCTGTCTTGCACATACTCTCTCCCCCTCTCTCCCACTCTCTCGCTCTCTCTGTCTATCTGTCTGCCGTTGTTTACGGAAATATTGACGCAGCAAAGCAAAAGCGAGCGACCTCTTTATTGCCGCCACCCTTGCCCCTCGCCCAGTGCCCGCCGTGCACTTGATGCCGTCGCATTGTGCAATCTATTGACTTTTTACACGTGACAGGCAACACTCAAGTTGTTGTTGTCGTTGTTGTTGTTGTTGTTGTTGTTGCCGGCTTTTCCATGTGTCTGGGCCGGCAAAGTTATCGCCGTTGTTGCTGTAGCCGTCTAATTGCCTGGCTGGAGAGCCCTTGGCCTATGCAAACGGCCAACGTATTCGATGCAGCAACTGTTGCTGCTAGCGTTGCCAACTATCATAAAACAATGCATAATAACATCATCATCATAAGCTACAACAACAGCAACAGCATCATCATCATAAACGTTGCACTAATCAAATTGCAGTTTTGAACTTGATTTGCAAAACGTAGTCGGTCAGTTAGCAGACGTTGCCAATTTTTGGGGCCGCACAAAACCGGTTAACAATTGCCAAACGCCAGTTGCCAGATGCCAGTTGCATGTTGCCAACAACAACAACAACAACAGTCGACACAAATGTTGGCCACATCAATTTGTGGGCCATTGCTAGACACAAAATGTGTTTGCCAGCAATATTTTGGGCATATGCTCAAGAGCTCGACTGCGTTAATTACAGGGTATTTTCTGCCAGTGCAATTCAAGCAAGCGATAGAAAAGCGATATCACTAAAATATAAGAGAAAGCGATAGAAACGCGAAGACACTTGAGCAGATAGAAAAGCGTTAGCACCAGAGAAGAGAGGAATGCGATAGATAGGCGACAGCAGACGAAAATATCTTATTCTTATTTTGTGGCATATGCAGTTTTGTGATTGAGGCATAATGCCAAGGCAACTGTTGTGGCAGATCAGTTAGTTGGTTAAATTACAGGGTATTTTATGATAAATGGTTTTTGTTGAAGATAAAAATGCAATAGAAAAGCGATATCACCTGAGCAGTTGAGAAAGCGATAGAAAAGCGATAGATTTTTGGAAGATATGAATGCGATAGAAAAGCGATATAAATTTACAATATTAATTTTATATTTAAATCGTAGCTGCTCCGGTAGATCAAAAAGTTCCGCAATTTATAGGGTATTTTTTGTTGATACCTTGTTCTTGTCGAAGATAAAAAGCCGATCGAAAAGCGATTTAACAAGAACGTAGAAGAAAGCCAGAAGTGCGATAGAAAAGCAATAACACTTAGCATTAAGCAAGATAAGAATGCGATCGAATTACGAGAGCACTTGGGAAGATAAGAAAGCGATAGAAAAGCGATAGAAAAATGAAACAGCTTAGTCCCATTTTGAGGAACAATGAAAGCTAATGCGGCTGTTGTGACAGAACTGGCATATGAATAGATATTTATTTGAACAAATTACAGGGTATATGGGCTAAATGATGTCAGTTGTGGCTGTTGCACGTGGCTCTTGCCACTTAATTGTGGTCTGGCTGTGTTAAACAAATGTTGCATGCAACATTTTGATTTGCTAAACTTTCGCTGAGATTGCGGCTGTCGAGCGAAATGCATTGCGATTGCAATTGATGCGGCAGCAACTTGTTGCAAATTGCCGTTGCTGCCGCAGCGCTGGCACGCCCACATGCCGCCGCCTCAGTTGCGCCTCAATTATGCCAATTGCAGTTGGCTTTTTGCGCCATGACCTTAAAAAGGCAACATGGAAATGTCTGCCCCACTTGCGCCACCTGCCGCCGTCTGTTGCTGCTGTTGCTGCCGCTTGTTGCAGCTGTTGTGATGTGCGTCTGCAGCAAATGGCGACTCGAGTTATGCAATTTGTGTTTTTTTTTTCTTTTTGTCGACCAGCAATTTCTGCTAAATATTTTAAGTGGTTTTGGCCAACAAGCTAAGGTTGCAGCCAAACGCATTTGACCCACTGAGCGATGGCAGTGGCAGCCACAATAACAGCAACAACAACAGCAGCAGCAAGCAGCAGCAACAGCGGCAACAGTTTTCCATTTTCCGTAAATTCGCGCATTTTCCAACTTAATTACGGCGCACATTGTTGTCATTTCATTTCATTGAGCAGCTTTTCCGAACGCT